TTACAATAAGCTGAGATGGAGCCAGCACACCCACACTCCAACCTGGGCAACAGAGCAAGATTCTTGTGTCAAAACAAAAAGACACTATTTACAAAAACAAGCGGTAAGCCAGATTTGGCCCCCAGGCCACAGTTTGCTGACCCCCAAGTTAGATAATGGAGATGGTTAAGGGTCAGTTGCATGTGAGTGAGGACTTGGGAATCCTCAGAGCTAAGGTCTGGGAATTAGTATCATTAAAGAAAAACGACGTGTGTTAACACACCCACTGTGCACAGGGCATCGTGATAGTCTCTGTACAAATGTCATTCAGTTTAATCTTCACACTATGATATAAGTGTTACTCTCTGCATCTCACAGATTAGGAAAATGGAAATTCAAAAAAAGTGAAGTGATTATTCAGAGTCACACAATAGTGAGTGGCAGAGCCAGGGTTTTTAAGCAGGTCTCTCCAACTTCAAGCCTAAGAGTTCTACTTGAAACCTGAAAGTCCTAGTCTCTGACCATGGGTGCTGCCCCCCTCCCACCCAGAGTCCTTGAGAAAAGGGTTAGGGACTCCTAAGCCCCAGAAATCCATAGCAAGGGCCGGATTTCCATTGTCGTGCCATATGGGGAATTAGAAAAGACCCTGGATATCATACATGGAAAGCCCTGCACTAAGCATTTGGTGTGGGGTAGAGTGCAGTAATGTTAGCTGAGATGAATGGGAATGATGATTTGAACACCAGTCTGGGGGGAGCCCACAGGATGCGGGGCACTTCTGGATTCCAGAGGGATCCTTCACCTTTTCAGTCTTATTTTCTCAGCCGTAGACCTACTCTAGGATTGACAGAGCCTTTAATAAAAAGTGTTCCTGCCTCCCATCTCCAGTTCCTGGTCCCTAAAGCTTACATTGACATCCCCGTTTCCTTTAGCACAATTAGTGATTACCCACGCTGCCCCCTGCTTCCCACAACTGACCCATATAGGACCAGGACACCATTAGAATCCCAGCAACTGGATAGTGAGCAGGCACGCCTGAGAGCTTTGGAAGCATAGGCCAAAGGCTCCGACCTGCCACAGTGACCAGACACTGAGCCAGCAAGGCTCCAGGTAATTTCCCTAAGGTGATATAGTGAGGACACAGTGGAACCAAGGCTGGAGTCACTCTGCCTGACTCCAAGGCCTACCCTCTTCACCTCTTCTTCATACAAGGTCCTGCCTGCGTGAGTGCAGACCCTCCACCCAGTCCTCACCACATCCTGTTGATTCTATCTTTAAAACAGAACTTGAATCCATCTTCTCTTATCCCCACTGCCAAAATCCCTGTCTAGGCAGCCATCATCTCATACCTCAACCCCCGCAAAGACCTCCCACTTTCATGCTTCCACTCCCCACCCCACAGTCTTCACCCAGCAATAAAGTGATCTTAAAGCAGACATCAGATCATCTCAGCCTCCTCTTAAAGCTTGTTAGAGGCTTCTCACTCACTCATTCACTAAAACAAGATCAGCCCTCCGTACCGCAGCGCTGAGGTCATGTTTTTGTACTGCAGGTTGTGACCCATTCGAGAAATCAATCTAGTGAGTTGCAAATAGCACTTTTTTTTTTTTTTTTTTTTTTTTTTTTTGAGACAGAATCTCACTCTTGTTGCCCAGGCTGGAGTGCAGTGGTGTGGTCTCAGCTCACTGCAACCTCCCCCTCCTGGGTTCAAGTGATTCTCCTGTCTCAGACTCCCAAGTAGCTGGGATTACAAGCGTTCACCAACACGCCCGGCTAATTTATTTATTTATTTTTATTATTTTTATTTTTAAGACAGAGTCTTGCTCTGTCACCCAGGCAGGAGCACAATGGCATGGTCTTGGCTTACTGCAACCTCCGCCTCCCAGGTCCAAGTGATTCTCCTGACTTAGCCTCCCGAGAAGCTGGGACTACAGGCGCATGCCACCACGCCCAGCTAATTTTTGTGTTTTTAGTAGAGACAGGGTTTCACAATGTTGGCCAGGCTAGTCTGGCCAACTCCTGACCTCGTGATCCGCCTGCCTCGGTCTCCCAAAGTGCTAGGATTACAGGCACGAGCCACCACACCCAGCCACCTGGCTAATTTTTGTATTTTTAGTAGAGATGGGGGTTTCTCTTTGTTGGTCAGGCTGGTCTGGAACTCCTGACCTCAGGTGATCTGCCCACCTCGGCCTCCCAAAGTGCTGGAATTATGTGCATGAGCCACTGCTCCTGGCCAGCACTTTTTAAAATTAATGTTGAGCACAAAAGAATAAAAAGTAGTAAGAGTACCTCACACATAGTAAGGGTAAGTATTCTGTGAAACAGGGGCTTGTGTTACATACATATTCGTGTATGTATATGTACGAATTCACAGCGGAACCCATGGTGACTGTGGGTCAGGATTCTGAAAGTCTTAACATCGCCTGCCCAGCCTCTGCCGCATCAGCCAGGCCAGCCGTATCTCAGACTGCTCTTCCCGTCACTCTGCCCTGCCATGCAGCATCGTCCCATCCCAGTCCAGTGTCTGTCCTACCGCATCCCCCACCTACAGTGTTCTTTGTGTGCTCTGAGTGGGTAGCACCTCTATCCTTTCACTCTTAGCCTGTCACCTCCCTGGAGAAGTATCCTTGACTTGCACCTAAAGTAATTTTCTTGCTGTTACTGTCTCTTTATAATTTATCATTATCATTTTTTTTCTTTTGAAACAGTCTCACTGTCACCCAGGCTGCAGTGCAGTGGCGTGATCTTGGCTCATTGCAACCTCCACCTCCTGGGTTCAAGCGATTCTCATGCCTCAGCCTCCTGAGTAGCTGGGATCACAGACATGAGCCTACTTTGTTTTCCACCTGTTCAACTCCACTAGAATGAAAGTAAGGGACATGTCTGTGTTCAAGTGCCTGGGTGCAAGACAAATATCTGTAGATGGAAGAAAGGCAGCACAGATACCCAGGTTCTAGCTCCAGCTCTGCCCAGATAAGCCAGGGGGCTCTGGGCAAGTCACTTCCTCATTTCCTCCCTTATTGCATGAGGAGTTCAAAGTCAGTGCTGGATAAGGGCCTTCTCAGTACTGACGTTCTAGAATTCTTTTGTCTGGAACTAGAATGTGGGCTGGGGGTTGATGCTCGTTTCTTTCCAGCTTACAAAATTTTTTTTATTTCCTCATCTCATTTGATTTCTACAGTAGCTCCTGGAGGAGGCCAGTCAGGCTGTTCTTGCCTGTACCACCTACACATCAGAGTAACTGAAACTCAGTGACAGGAATTTTCTCAAACCAGCAGAATAGCAAACCTACCTGTGCCCTTGACTTCTACTTTCTTTTTCTCTTTATCTTTTTTTTGAGACAGAGTCTCACTTCGCCGCCAGGTGCCAGGCTGGAGTGCAGTGGCACAATCTCAGCTCACTCAACCTCTGCCTCCCAGGTTCAAGAAATTCTTCTGCCTCAGCCTCCCGAAGCGCTGGAACTACAGGCACGCGCCACCACACCCAGTTAATTTTTGTATTTTTAGTAGAGATGGGGTTTCACCATGTTGGCGACGATGGTCTCCATCCCTTGACCTGGCGATCCACTCGCCTCGGCCTCCCAAAGTGCTGGGATTACAGGCATGAGCCACCTCGCCTGGCCTTTTTTCTTCATCTTTTTTTTTTTTTTTTTTTTTTTTTTTAGACAGAGTCTTGCTCTGTCACCCAGGCTGCAGTGCAATGGCGCAATCTTGGCTCACTGCAATCTCCACCTCCCAGGTTCAAGTGATTCTCCTGCCTCAGCCTCCAGAGTAGCTGGGATTACAGGCGCATGCCACCACACCCAGCTAATTTTTGTATTTTTAGGAGAGACGGGGTTTCACTATGTTAGCCAGGATGGCCTTGCTCTCCTGACCTTGTGATTCACCTGCCTCAGCCTTCCAAAGTGCTAGGATTACAGGCATGAGCCACCGCACCCAGCCGACTTCTGCTTTCTTGCTTTGTTCCCTAAAACCACCTGAGTCTACCTGCCCTGGTTAAGAAGAATGAAGACTGTGTTGGGAAAAGGGGGTTTTCTCAGCTTCTCCTGCCCTGTTGGTAATGTCACTAGTATCTTACCCTTAGATTGCAGTAGTTTGAGGTCATTAACTCCCTGCACTGTGACATTAGCTAAATCTAATGGTAACTCAGAGAAGCAACCTCTCTGAATCACCCATACAATGGCATTTGGAATTTTTTGTTTTTTGAGTTTTTTGAGGCAGGGTCTTGTTGTGTCACGCAGGCTGGAGTGCAGTCACACAATCACAGCTCACTGTGTCTTCAAATTACTGGGCTCAAGCAATCCTCCTACCTCAGCCTCATGAGAAGCCAGGACTACAGGGGAATCCATTATGCCCAGCTAATTTTTTCCTTTTAATTTTTTTGTAGAGACAAGGTCTCACTATGTTGCCCAGGCTGGTCCTGAGCTCCTGGCCTCAAGTGGTCCTCCTACCTTGGCCTCCCAAAGTGCTGCTATGATAGGCGTGAGCCACCACACCCCATTTTTACTACATGTTTAAGATAAGATTGACTATTTTGGGTCCAGCACAGTGGCTTATGCACGTAATCCCAGCACTTTGGGAGGCCAAGGCGGGAGGATCACCTGAGGCCAGGAGTTCAAGGGCAGCCTAACCAACAAGGCAAAACCCTGTCTCCAGTAAAAATACATAAATTAGACAGGTACAGAGGTGCACACCTGTAATCCCAGCTACTCACAGGGCTGCACTATGAGAATCATTTGAACCCAGGAGGCAGAAGTTGGAGTGAGCCAAGGTCGCACCATTGCACTCCAGCCTGGGCTATGGAGCAAGACTTTGTCTCCAGAAAACAAAAAAGAATAACAGTCTATTTTGCGGAATTATCATGAGGTCTCAGACATTCAGAGGAATGTCCAGATTTTCTTCTTTTTCTAAGCATTACTTGAAGTCCACTATCCTGGATGCCCATTCACCAGAGAGGGTGAGCTGCAGTTGAATGTGCACGGGGCTCCTTCCTTATGATCCTGGCCTCATCCCCTGATTCAGGAACCTGGCGGACCGAGGCCGTGTTCAGTGAGGAAGCACTGATCCAAGTTCCAAGTGACATCCCTCTTGAGAGCGCTGCCACCCTAGGTGTCAATCCCTGCACAGCCTACAGGATGTTGATGGACTTCGAGCAGCTGCAGCCAGGTAGGAACCCACAGGTTAGGAGAGCAGGCCAACTGGGGTCTCCCAACTGGGGTGCCACCCAAATCCTGACCCCAAGGCCAGGAGAACTTGCAAGGTGAAGGGTGTGAGGGGGCAGTGGACCTCTATCCTGGGTGAATGTTGTTGCTTTCACTTAGAAAGATGTTAGCTTGGTTCCTAGAAAACATGCTGAAACCTCATGAGGAATACACTCTCGAAAACTGCAACAGGGTCACATTCTCTAGAGCTTGGGATTGAATTTTCTCATTCAGCAAAAATGTGTTGAGCTGTGCTAAGCTCTGGGGATACAAAGACAGACAAGATAGATACAGTCCCTGTGTTTTCAGTAAAACGCTGAACTTAGTGTTAATAATTCCATTCAGCATTTACATGGCACTTTCCAGTTCACATAAGTGCCTTTGCAGGCATTATTCCCATTGAGTGCATTAAATCTTCAAAGCAGTGCAGTGAGGTTGGTATCCTCATTGGTTAACAGCTGAAGCTCTGGGCAGACAACCTGGGTCTGACCCCAGGCTGCATCTGTCACTGACTGTGAATTTTCCTCTCAAATCATCAGATTTTTCTTCTGTAAAAGGGAGATAAAGAGCATGGAGGGTGAAAGACTGCAGTGTAACACTGAACACAGTGCTGGACAAACAGTGCAGAGGCTTTCCGCTGCTTTTACTCTTCTTTCTTTTCATAAATGGGGAAGCTGAAGTCCAGAGAGGTAAACTATTTGCATGAGATCAGCTAGCCAAGTGTTTTATTTGAGTTTCCCTGAAAGCAGAGCCAAAGACTTGGACTGGGTACAGACAGTTTGTTTGAGAAGCAGAAATGAGGGGGAGTGGGGAGAGCCAGACAGAGAGCCAGCAAAGCTTATGAAGCCCGGTTACTACTGCAGGCAACTACTGCTCAGTCTAGTTTTTGAGACGGAGTCTCGCTCTATCGCCAGGCTGGAGTGCAGTGGTTTGATCTCCACTCACTGCAACCTCTGCCTCCCAGGTTCAAGGGATTCTGCCTCAGCCTCCCAAATAGCTGGGACTACAGACACCTGCCACCATGCCTGGCTAATTTTTGTGTTTTTAGTAGAGACAGGCTTTTGCTATATTGGCCAGGCTGGCCTCGAACTCCTGACCTTGTGATCCGCCCACCTCAGCCTCCCAAAGTCCTGGGATTACAGGTATGAGCCACAGTGCCCAGCCTGCTTAGTCTTGCTGAGGGCCCTCTGAAGACTCCCATAGACCCCACCACAGAATTAACCCTCAAGGCTGGGCAAGGCTAGGTGGCGGTGAGCATAGATCATGCCACTGCACTCCAGCCTGGACGACAGAGCGAGACTCCCTCTCAAAAAACAAGCAAAAAAAAGAGCGCTTGAATGATGGGAGGCTGGGCCAGTTTTCCACTAATTCTCATGCCCCATGTTTAAGGGTTGCCCTAAAGGCATTAACCTCCTGGGCTGCCTCTGCACAACATGCACATCCATGAGCCACAGTGACTATAGAAATCACCCAAGCCACCTCTCATGCCAGTAAGGAAACTGAGGCAAAGAGCTGTTGGAGTATGATGAAACTTGGTGCCCAGCCACTGGCCAAGGCCAGGCTGAAAGCCTATGCCAGCTCCCACAATGAGAAATACAGGTTTCTCAGAACTGCGTCAGAGGGGCCCTGGGAGCCTTTGGTGGAAAAAGCCAGTGGCTGTGACCAAGGATGGCTGCTGGAGTCCTAGTGCAGCAGACGCTTTGTTTGCCTGCATCCCATGCCCCAAAGCCACCTCCCATTTGGGCTGCAGCTGTGATAGCCAGATCTAGGCATTTCAGCACTGCCTGCCCTGAGTCCCCACTGCCCATCGCTCCACTTCACTAATTCAAGGCTGATGTGGCAGAACTAGATCAATGTTGAATAAACTTAGCATCTTGACACATGATAAGAAATACGTTTTACATTGTGATCAGTTTATACAAATGGGAATATATATATATATAATGGAAACCAAAGTTTCATGAAATACCCTTACTATGTGTGACATACTCTGTTATTTTTTATTCTCTTCTCAATTTCAACTTTTAAAAAAATGCTACAGCCAGACGCAGTAGCTCACGCCTATAATCCCAGTACTTTGAGAGGCAGAGGCAGGCAGATCACCTAAGCTGAGGAGTTCAAGACCAGCCTAACCAACATGGTGAAACTGCATCTCCACTAAAAATACAAAAATTAGCCAGGCGCAGTGGTGGGTGCCTGTAATCCCAGCTACTCAGGAGGTGAGGCACGAGAGTCGCTTGAACTCAGGAGGTGGAGGTTGCAATGAGCCAAGATCGTGCCATTGCACTCCAGCCTGGGCAACAAGAGCAAAACTATGTCTCAAAAAAAAAACTGCTGCTTGCAACCAACTAGATTGATTCCTAATCCACTAGTGGGTGACAACCTGTATATTGACCCCTGGTGAAGGAGAATGGGCATTCTTCTTCCAGGAAGTCCTCTTTCTCTAGTTCCAGCCCGTTGTGTGGCACATCTCTGCTGTCTTTCAAAAACCAGACAGCATTTCAAAGTCAACAAAGCACTTTCCCAGCCCTGATACATCTGACTCTAATCAGGGGCACCCTCATTGGTGCCCCCAGGACTGCTATTAAGGGAAGGAAACTGAAGTTCACAGAGGTCTTGACTTGCCCCATCCGTTTAGTTGCAGTCATTGGTGAAACTGAGACTCATGCCCAGGTCCGTCTCATTCCAGAGCCCACATTTTTCCCAGCATGCCACACTGCCTTCCCCCATGGCCAGATCCAAAACGAGACCTGGGCTTTGCCACAAAACTGTAGGACCCTGTTTCAGGGGCTGCTAGTTTCTCCAGAGCAGCTCTAATTGCATTTCAAGGCAGTGCGCCTTGATTAAACACTGCGGAGGGAAATAGGGCATGACCCTTCCCTCTCAAGAAGCTCCAAGCTGCTGATAGAAATGGACCTATATACAACGAAGTGTAAAGATGGGACAGACCATGGTATGTGCATTAATAGAGAGCACGGTGGGAGCACATAGAGGGAACAATCCAGGAAGGCTTCATGAAGGCTGCACTTGACCTGTGCTTCAAAAGATCTGCAGGATTTCAGTAGGAAGGAAGAGAGAAGGACGGAAGCATTGCAAACCAAGAAAATAACCTAAGCAGACTTGAGGACATAAAAGTTGGGAGGACTGGGCTCAGTGGCTCACGCCTGTAATCCCAGCACTTTGGGAGGCCAAGGCGGATGGATTACTAGGTCAAGAGATCAAGACCATCCTGGTCAACATGGTGAAACCCCATCTCTACTAAAAATACAAAAAAAATTAGCTGGGCATGGTGGTACAGCCTGTAGTCCAGCTACTCAGGAGGCTGAGGTAGGAGAATTACTTAAACCCAGGAGGCAGAGGTTGCGGTGAGCCAAGATCGTGCCATTGCACTCCAGCCTGGGTAACAAGAGCGAAACTCTGTCTCAAAAAAAAAAAAAAAAAAGTTGGGAGGATGATGAAGGCCATAAAATCTTACACAGCAGGGCAGGGTCCAAGTTATGTCCAGTGTAGATGCTGAGTTGCCAAGTCCTGGGAGGCATCGTGAGTGTTGTGGAAGTTTAGGAGGCTGCCGGGTGTGGTGGCTCATGCCTGTAATCCCAGCACTTTGGGAGGCCGAGGCAGGTGGATCACGAGGTCAGGAGTTCGAGACCAGCCTAATCAACATGGTGAAACCCCGTCTCTACTACAAATACAAAAATTAGCTGGGCGTGGTGGCACACGCCTGTAATCCCAGCTACTCAGGAGGCTGAGGCAGAAGAATCGCTTGAACCTAGGAGGCAGAGGTTGCAGTGAGCCGAGATTGTGCCATTGCACTCCAGCCTGGGCAACAGAGTGAGACTCTGTCTCAAAAAAAAAAAAAAAAAAAGGTAAGGTTGGGGGCATTAGGGAAACCGTGAGAAACAGTGAAATGTCTGAGAAGACTGAGCAGCCCAGTCCTGGGTCCCTTGAGCCTAAGGATGCCCATCTCTTGCCTACAGTAAGATCCCCTACTGGGAGCCCTTGACCTATTGCAGAACCATACAGGGCTTGACTTGGGTCTCTTCCTGGCTCCACAGGGGATTCTGTCATCCAGAATGCATCCAACAGTGGAGTGGGCCAAGCGGTCATCCAGATCGCGGCAGCTCTGGGCCTGAGAACGATCAATGTGGTCCGAGACAGGTGCGTGGGGAGGAGGCTTCATCCCAGACCCAAGGCCCAGACTTGGGCCTTTCCACCTTCCATCCCTGCAGTGCCCACCTCTCCAGCAGAGGGCGCCCTTGCATAAGCATAAACTGTACTTAAGATTCACTAACAGAGTTGGTGGCTGAAACAGATGAGTCAGCCCCAAGAAATGAAGTCCAGCTGGCTTTTGGCGATAGGATGAGTGAATCTGAAATGTAAAGAGAGAGCAGGAAGGAGGTGGAGACTGCCCTTACTGAACAGCTAGGACTTTTTGAGACTCTTGGCTTCTGATCACCTCATGTTTCCAAAACCCCAGTTCATATTTGGGAATGTTTTGAGCTATATTATTCTTTCTGCACACTGTCTACCCCAAGACACCCGTTACCCTAGCTTTTGAGTGGTACTTGGAAGTGCACTAAATACAGACATGAAGGAGACGGGGCAGGTTTATCCTCTGTCTTTCACAGATGAGGAAGCAGTTTCAGAGAGCAGCTTGCTCTGACAGACACAGCAAGTCAGTGCCAGACTCGGTGTCCTCACATACTCTTTCCATCGCATTGTCCAGTTTCTCTAGGCCTCACTGTCCATGAATGTGGCTGTGGCTGTCAGGAAGCCCAGTCCTAGTATAACTGACATCAGCTTTAGTTCCTCAGTTGTACTGACAAAAATTCCTTGGACGGGCCCAGTGGCTCACGCCTGTAATCCCAGCACTTTGGGAGGCTGAGGCGGGTGGATCACCTGAGATCGGGAGTTCGAGACTAGCCTTACCAGCATGGAGAAACCCTGTCTCTACTAAAAATACAAAAAGTTAGCCAGGCGTGCTAGCACACACCTGTAGTCCCAGCCACTTAGGAGGCTGAGGCAGGAAAACTGCTTGAGCCTGGGAGGCAGAAATTGCAGTGAGCCAAGATCACACCACTGCACTCTAGTCTGGGCAACAGAGTGACACTGCATCTCAAAAAAAAAAAAAAAATTATTCTGTTTGCCTTAACCAAAGAGGTCCAGTGCCACTCCCGGGCCGAGTGTTTGCACAACCCTCTGAAGAGCCTCTGGGAAAGAGGGAGGAAGTGGAGTCTGTCTTTTCAGTAGAAGAAATCAGGAGGTTAAGTGACTTCTTCCTGGGCACAGATGGCTTCTAGCACTGTTGAGCTGTCAGGGACTGTGGAAACCACCCAGTCTCACTCTGTTTCCAGTGAGGAGGCAGCCAAGAGCTGTTGAAGCCAGATGAAATTAGGTGACTGGTCCCTGCTCAAGCCCATCTTAAACCTATTCTCAGCTTCCTGCAGAAAGAAACATGGGTTCTCCCAGCTGTGGCAGAGGGGTCCTGGGAGACTTTGGTGGAAAAGGCTGGCAGAAGTGACCAGGGACCTTGGGGACTGTGTTTGCTTTCCAGACCTGATATCCAGAAGCTGACTGACAGACTGAAGAGTCTGGGAGCCAAGCATGTCATCACAGAAGAGGAGCTAAGAAGGCCCGAAATAAAAAACCTGTTTAAGGTACCTAGGAATAGGAATATTGCCCCTCCAGTTCACGCACATCTCCCTAAAGAAAGTTGACATGCATTAGAGAAGCTGGGGACTGGCCCCATTGTTCCTCTCTGGAAACATCCGTTAGCCTCTTCTTGGTCAGTTAAAGCCCATTACCCCTACCTAGCCAGCGGCAGGCAGCATGCATTCAGTGCCCAGATGCTGGGAGGGAGGCACAAGAAACAGAGTTTAGGAAACCCAGTATGACTTGCAGCTTTAAACATCTGTGGTGGGCCACATCAGCCCACATGTGTGACTCTCAGAACTGGCAGGAGAGGACCTGAGGAAACAGAAACACAGAAAGAGAAGAGAGAAAAGAAGTAACTACCTGCCTTACATTTTCTCTGATAATTTCCACAAAAGCTCTTTAAAGGAGCTGTTGTTTGTTTTATTGGTGAGGAAACTAGGACTCAGAAAAGATGAAGTGCTTGGCCAAAATCATACCGTTTTTAAGGGGTAGAGTCAGAGCTGGCCTCAGTCTCTCTGAACTCAAAAGCCTCTTAACTTTCCAGAACCTCCTCCCCACAACACACCTAGTAAGTGACCAAACCCTCAGCCCTTTTCACTGAACCATCTGGAGGAACCAAAGACACATACTCGAGACCACACGCTTCTTGCAAACATTTCTGAAGCAGTAGATCAGCATATATAATATCAAGGACTGAAAAGGAGGGCATGCAGGGAGCTGAAGCCTAGCAGACTGCATGTGGATGTCTTTGCCTTTCTTTCCCAGAGAAGATGAGTTCTGCCAGGTTCTGAAATGGACAACAAGATTAAGTTGCTACAGAAAAGGCCCTTCTTGGCCGGATGAGGTGGCTCACACACCTGTCATCCCAGCACTTTGGGAGGCCAAGGCAGAAGGATTGCTTGAGTCTGAGAGTTTGAAACTAGCCTGAGCGACATAGAACTCTATCTCTACCAAAAAAAATTTTTTTTTAATTAGCCAGTCATCATGATAGGCATCTGCAGTCCTAGCTACTCGGGAGGCTGAGGTGGGAGGATTGCTTGAGCCCAGGAGGTTGAAGTAGCAGTGAGCCATGATTGCACCACTGCACTCCAGCCTGGGTAACAGAGTGAGACCCTGGCTTAGGAAGAAAAAGAAAAAAGACCCTTCCTAAGCAGAGAAAAAGGTGGGTTCAAAGACATAAACACACACACCATAGACGCGTGCATGCACGTACAAAGACATAAACATCTCATTTTATTTCCTCCCTCCTTCTAACACGGCACTTGGGCAAGGGAGGTGCTGTTTGTAACTAGGTTCAGGCACCACATGTGGAGAGGCCGCTCCCTCACTGCACATTTGTTGTTTTCCACCAGGACATGCCCCAGCCACGCCTTGCTCTCAACTGTGTTGGTGGGAAAAGCTCCACAGAGCTGCTGCGGCAGTTAGCGTAAGTCCCTCAGCCCTGCAGGTCCAGCTCGCCAGAGCTCTCCAGGTCTTTAGCTGGGAGGAACGTCAAGTGACCGAGTCCCAGTGGCCGGTTCGAGCCAAGGCCAGGTCAGCACCATGCGGAGTGGAAACTAGGACCAAAGTCATCCAGCTATTTGGGCACTGCTTTCTCAGCCTCCATCCTCTGTGAATGACCAAAAGGCCTCTCCAGCTTTATTTTTCCAAGGGACCCAGAAGTAGACTGCTAAGCTGCCTGCCATCAAGGATATATAACCTAGGGGTGTCTGAAAAAGTCATTTAATCCTAGCTTATTTAACCTTTCAAAATTTGTATTAACCTTTAAAATAGATTCTAATTTTAAAGGTAACATTATATTTATTACAAAACATTTTGAAAACTTGTAAAAGTGCAAAGGAAACATAAGCATAAAAGTTACCTGTTGGGGCCAGGTGTGGTGGCACACGCCTATAATTCCAGCACTCTGGAGGCCAAGGTGGGTGGATCACCTGAGGTCAGGAGTTCAAGACCAGCCTGGCCAACATGGTGAAACCCCGTCACTAATAAAAATACAAAAATTAGCTGGGCATGGTGGCACACACCTGTAATCCCAACTACTTGGGAGGCTGAGACAGGAGAATTGCTCCAACTCAGGAGGCAAAGGTTGCAGTGAGCTGAGATCACACCACTCCACTCCAACCTGGGCAACAGAGTGAGACTCTGTCTCAAAAAAAAAACAAAAAGTTACCTGTTGGCTGGGCACTGTAGCTCATGCCTATAATCCCAGTACTTTGTGGGGCCAAGGAGGAAGCATTACTTGAGGCCAGGAGTTTGAGACCAGCCTGGATAACATAGACCACATCACTACAAACAAATTTTAATGTTTAAGTTACCTGGCCAGGCATGGTGGCTCTTGCCTGTCATCCCAACAAGGCAGGCAAATCATTTGAGGCCCAGAGTTTGAAAGCAGCCTGGCCAACATGGCGAAACCCTGTCTCTACTAAAAATATTAAAAAATGTAGCCAGGCATGGTGGTGCACACCTGCAATCGCAGCTACTTGGAAGGCTGAGGCACAAGAATTGTTTGAATCCAGGAGGTGGAGGTTGCAGTGAGCCAAGATCACACCACTCTACTATAGCCTGGATGACAGAGGGAGACTCCTTCTCAAAAAAAAGTAGGCCAGGTGTGGTGGCTCATACCTGTAATCCCAGCACTTTGGGAGGCTGAGACAGGTGGATCACGAGGTCAGAAGTTCGAGACCAGCCTGACCAATATGGTGAAACCCCATCTCTACTGAAAATACAAAAATTAGCCAGGTGTGGTGGCACATGGCTGTAATCCCAACTACTCGGGAGGCTGAGGCAGGAGAATCGCTTGAACCTGGGAGATGGAGGTTGCCATGAGCCCAGATGGCACCATTGCACTCCAGTCTGGGCAACAAGCAAAACTCCATCTCAAAAAAAAAAAAAAGTTACCTCCCACCACCAAGGGGGATAAACCTGTTGACAATATTAACAATGCATGTACTTCCATTCCTCTTTCCTTTAATATAAACTTCTTGAGCTGGAGTGTGTGTAAGAAGACACTTTCTAACTGAACCAGGAACCGCCGCTTAATGGCATGGATTCAGCTAGCACATACTTGCTGAGCACTTACTAGCTACCAGGCAGAGAGAGGGCTGCGACACTGATGTCCCCTCTGAGAACTCACAGGCTAGATGAGCAGGTGAGTCATGTGGTGAGCATTCACCGTGCACCAGACTGTGTACAGTGCTTGACTCACCCCTCCCGCAGCCACCTAGACAAGGGGTACAGTTCTAACCTCTGTTTTATACTCTTAAAAGATGAGGCTCAGGCCGGGCGCAGTGGCTTACACCTGTAATCCTTTCACTTTGGGAGTCTGAGGCGAGTAGATCACCTGAGGTCAAGAGTTCTAGAACAGCCTGGCCAACATGGCGAAACCTCCTCTCTACCAAAAATCCAGAAATTAGGCAGGCTTGATGGTGGGCACCTGTAATCCCAGCTACTTGGGAGGCTGAAGCAGGAGAATCGCTTGAACCCAGAAGGCAGAGGTTGCAGTGAGCCGAGATTGCATCATTGCACTCTAGCCTGGGCAGCAAGAGCGAAACTCTGTCTCCAAAAAAAAAAAAACAAAATGCTGGGTTCAGTGGCTCACACCTGTAATCCCACCCAGCACTTTGGAAGGCCAAGGCGGGTGGATCACAAGGTCAGGAGTTTGAGACCGGCCTGGTTAATATGGTGAAACCCCATCTCTACTAAAAATACAAAAATTAGCCAGGCTTGGTGGTACGTGCCTATACTCTCAGCTACTCCGGAGGCTGAGGCAGGAGAATCACTTGAACCCAGGAGGCAGAGGTTACAGTGAGCCAAGATCATGCCATTGCACTCCAGTCTGGGCAACAGAGCGAGACTGTCTCCAAAAAGAAACAAAGGCCCAAAGAGGTCGAGCACCTGGCCCCAAGTCTAGTCAACAGGAGAGCCAGGCTTGACCCAGCATTTGAGCACACCGCTTCAGCCCTATACCACACAGCCCCTGTGGCAGACCCCAGTCCCAACATCATTGCAGGCGAAGCGTTCCGCAGTGGTAACAGGTGTAGGCACTGGAGTCAGAATGGCGGGGTTCAGGCCCCAGCTCTGTGACTTACTAGCTGTGGACCTATGAAAAGTTTTTTTACTTTCTTTTTCTTCTTCTTTTTCTTCTTTCTCCCTAGACTGCTCAGCAGGAGGACCTATGAAAAGCTAAGCAATAGGTGAAAAACAATCCAGGCCTCCATCTCTTCATCTGTAAAATGGAGGTTATGTGAACTCTCTGCCTTTGGAGGGTGGTCTAATACAGGACTAGTCTGTCCCCAACCTCCTGGCCACAGACTAGTACCAGTTCATGGCCTGTTAGGAACCAGGTCACACAGCAGGAGGTGAGCGGTGGGTGAGCGAGCATGACCGCCTGAGCTCTGCCTCCTGACAAATCAGTGGCAGTATTTGATTCCCATAGGTGTGTGAACCCTATTGTGCACTGCGCATGTCAGCGATCTAGGTCCTGCCGTCCTTACAAGAAGCTACTGCCTGAGGATCTAAGGTGGCAGTTTTATCCCAAAGCCATCCCCCCGCCTCTGGTCCATGGAAAAATTGTCTCCCACAAAACTGGTCCTGGTGCCAACAAGGTTAGGGACCACTGGTCTAAAGGACACCGAGGGGATATACAAATTGCTGTGCAAATGAGGGATGGTTTTCAGTTTTCTCATCTCTAAAGCAAGGTTGTTATGAGGAATCCCTGAGGCAGTGCATGCAAAATGCTTCAAACTGTGCTGGCACATAGTAGAAGCCCGGTGAATGTCAGCTAGTCCAATTAGAACAAGTGCAGCAGGGATACGGAGGAGAGAGGGCTTGGCTCCCAGGAGCCACTTTCTACAGCAGGTGGCAGTCGAGGGGCCACCTTAAGACCAAGCTACCCAGCAGCCTCAGGGACAGAAGTACCTGCCCCAGAACAGCAGCTTCTGCCATTTGGTAGTTTTCAAAGTCTGCCTTGTTTCTCCCAAAATGTGCCTGAGGTTATTCTTTGAACAACAGACTCCTAGAAGAGCCAGAGAGTGGGAAGGGGAACATAGGTTAAGTCAAGCATGGGAACTCCAGGCTTATTCACTTAAAAATTATGCCGGGCGCGGTGATTCACGCCTGTAATCCCAGCACTTTGGGAGGCCAAGGCGGGCAGATCATGAGGTCAAGAGATCGAGACCATCCTGGCCAACATGGTGAAACCCCGTCTCTACTAAAAATACAAAAAATAGCCGGGCATGGTGGCACGTGCCTGTGGTCCCAGCTACTCGGGAGGCTGAGGCAGAAGAATCGCTTGAACCCAGGAGGCAGACATCGTAGTGAGCCGAGATTGCGCCACTGCACTCCAGGCGCCAGCAAGACTCCATCTCAAAAAAAAAAAATGATATTAGCCTCACTCCTGTATGTCAGCTGAAGTAGGGGTGTGGGTGTCAGAAAGCAAGTACTGAGAGGGCGCCTCCTGCAGTAGGGGACACTTGGCAGTTGAGGGACAGGACACTGCTCTGTCCACATCCCTCCTTGTCTATAGAGCTGTTTCCTCACGTTGATTCTTAGAATAAGCATTGACAGATGAAGAGACAAAGTCTAGACCGTTTTCACTGCATCGCCCAGGGTCAGACATCTGTGAGAACAGAGCCAGGGCTGAACTCAGGCCTCGAGCTCGTCTCGGGAGAGCATGTTTCTTTGCAGCACTTAATCAAAGCCTGACTGGGCGGGTTAGATCCGTGGATTCCCAACCCTGGCTAAACATCCAAGTCATCCAGAGGGTATGTGTATATGTGTGTGTTTAATATACATTCTTGTCTTCTGATTCACTGGGTCTGGGGTTGGACCTAGGAATCTATTTTGTTGTTTTGTTTTGTATTGAGATGATCTTACTCTGTTGCCTAGGCTGGAGTGCGGTGGTGCAGTCTCAGCTCATTGCAGCCTTAACCTCCCAGGCTCAAGTGATCCTCCCACCTCAGCCTCCTGAGTGGGACCACAGGCATGTACCACCATGCCCAGCTAATTCTTTTTAATTATTTGTAGACACAGGGTCTCACTATCTTGCCCAGGCTGGTCTCAAACTCCTGGGCTCAGGCAATCCTCCCGCCTTGCCCTCCCAAAGCACTGGTATTACAGGCGTGAGCTGCCAGGCCCAGCATTTATTTATTTATTTTCTGAGATAGGGTCTCACTCTGTTGCCCAGGCTGGGGTGCAGTAGTGCGATCAGGGCCTCAATTTCATGGGCTTAGGTGATTCTCCCACCTTATCCTCCCAAGAAGGTATTTTTTTGGTAGAAACAGGGTCTCCTTAAGTTGTATTTTCTTTGTAGAAACAGGGTCTCCTTATGTTGCTCAAGCTGATCTTGAACTCCTGGGCTCAAGTGATCTGCCTGCCTCAACCTCCCAAAGTGCTGAGATTATAGGCAGGAGCCACCCACCCAGCCCAGAGTCTGTGTTTTTCAGCCCTTCCCAGAGATTCTGAGAGCAAGGCTGGAGTAGAAGCACCATGGTGGGTTCAGGAAGGCTCTGTCTCTGCTTTGCACCCACTCTTTGTTCTCTTTGGACTCTTTAGGCGTGGAGGAACCATGGTAACCTATGGGGGAATGGCCAAGCAGCCCGTCATAGCCTCTGTGGTAAGCTGGTCGGGGAGGCATGCCTACAGCCAGGCCACATGCCCTGGCATGACAGCTGTCTAAACTTAGGCAATGCCTCGTCCCTGGAGGGGAGTCGGTACGCTTGAGCAGTGCCTGGAATTCTTGCCCTCAGAGCCCAGCCTGTCCTTTCTGTGTCCACAGAGCCTGCTCATTTTTAAGGATCTCAAACTTCGGGGCTTTTGGTTGTCCCAGTGGAAGAAGGATCACAGTCCAGGTAAGTGCATGGCCCAGTGCAAAGAGTCACAGGTGAGGGCAGTGCCTAAGAAGGGCGGCAGAAATGACTAGCTATTGTGAACCCTGGAGGGGTGACTGGGTCCCCAGTCCCACAGAAGGATCAAGGAGAATAGCCTTAGCCCAGCAACAGTCAGCAAATAGTTACTGGACTAAACTGGGTTAGTCTTGAAGGCACAGAACAGCTCCGGAAGAGCTGACGGGGGAAAGACAGTCAAGCAAAGAGAATAGACTGGAGCCAGCCTGCCTGGGTTCAAATCCTGCTTCCACACTACTGGACAGAGGTTCTGCCTACCCAGCGGTGGGACCTTAGCAAGTTACTTAATCTCTGCCTCAGTTTAAATGTCATAAGTTTAAACTCTTGTTAGGCGTGTTTGACAGAGGAGGAAATTGAGGTTCAGAGTGGTTAAGTAACATGGACAAAGTCACCTCCCCGCAGGGAGGGATGCAGTCAGGATGTGAACAGATCATCTCCCTGTTCTTTGTCTCCCGGAGGATTGGCTCCCCGGAGTAGGAACGCCAAACTTAGAGTACTATGGAGTTACCCAGGTGAAGGGGAGGAAGGTGGCGATGTGAATGCAGTGTTTAAGGCAGAAAAAATCAAAATTGCATGTGCAGCTGGGCACTAAAGTAGATCCAAGCAAGCTGGAGCGCTAGATCTGAGCTGGGGCTAGGAAATGTGTGTGGGTTATGACCAGGTTACCACCAAAGGACTTAGAAACCTGATAAAGGCATTCAGACTCACTGGGGCTTTTTTTGCTGTTTTGGGGGGTTGGGTTTTTTTTGAGACAAGGTATCACCCTGTTGCCCTGGCTGGAGTACAGTGGTGTAGTCACAGCTCAAAGCAGCCTCAACTTTCTCAACTCAGGTGATCCTCCCACCTCAGCCTCCCAAGTAGCTGGGGGAGCACCACCACGTCTAGCTAGTTTTTGTATTTTTAGTAGAGATGGGGTTTCGTCATATTGCCCGGGCTGGTCTCAAACTCCTGGGCTCAAGTGATACACCCACCTCAGCCTCCCAGAGTGCTGGGATTATAGGCATGAGCCACTGTACCCAGCCAACACTCACTCTCTTTTTTTTTGAGACGGAGTTTCACTGTTGTTACCCAGGCTGGAGTGCAATGGCACGATCTCGGCTCACCGCAACCTCCACCTCCTGGGTTCAAGCAATTCTCCTGCCTCAGCCTCCCGAGTAGCTGGGACTACAGGCACATACCACCATGCCCAGCTAATTTTTGTATTTTTAGTAGAGACAGGGTTTCACCTTGTTGACCAGGATGGTCTCAATATCTTGACATTGTGATCCACCCGCCTCGGCCTCCCAAAGTGCTAGGATTATAGGCATGAGCCACCGCGCCCGACCCACTCTCTTTTTTTATTTTTTTTTTTTTTGAGACGGAGTCGCTCTTGTTGCCCAGGCTGGAGTGCAATGGTATGATCTTGGCTCACCACAATCTCCGCCTCCTGGGTTCAAGCGATTATCCTGCCTCACCCTCCCAAGGAGCTGAGATTACAGGCATTATGCCACCATGCCCATCTAATTTTGTAGTTTTAATAGAGATGGAGTTTCTCCATGTCAGTCAGGTTGATCTGGAACTCCCAACTTCAGGTGATCCGCCTGCCTTGGCCTCCCAAAGTGCTGGGATTACAGGTGTGAACCACCACGTCCAGCCAGGACTTGCTCCTTTTTTTTTTCCCCCTTTTACAGAGTTTCACTCTTATCGCCCAGGCTGGAGTACAATGGCATGATCTCGGCTCACCGCAACCTCTGCTTCCCAGGTTCAAGCCACAGCCTCCAAAGTAGCTGGAATTACAGGCATGAGCCATCACGCCTGGCTAATTTTTTGTATTTTTAGTAGAGACGGGGTTTCTCCATGCTGGTAAGGCTGGTCTCGAACTCCTGACCTCAGGTGATCCACCCGCCTCAGCCTCCCAAAGTGCTGGGATTACAGGCGTGAGCCACCACGCCTGGCCAGGACTCACTCTTAAAGGTACTTCCTTAAATGGAAAAATGCTTCTCAGCCAAGGCCTTCACTTCTCAACTTCTATACCATATAGGGTCCTTCAGAGGAGGCAGGCCCAGGGAGGCGACGTTGGTGGCCTTGGGTTAAGGGAGTCCTGGGCTCTCAGGGAGAGCTCCTTCCCCTGAGCAGAGCTCATCTGTTCCACATCACTTTGGTGTGCCATGCACACTCACTCCCTCCCTGCACCTCCTCTGGCTTCCTTGCCTCAGTTCATTGTGCTTCTCCCATCATTCAGTGCTCCTGGCTCCACCATGGCCAGGTTCTGTGGGTCTGTGCTGTCATAGCCACCACTCTGAAGGGTGGTCTCTGCCTGCCTGCCCATCAACCCCTAGAGCCGCTCCTATGGTCCTCTCTCCCCACCTGGACCTCATTGTCCTAAAGACAGGCAGGGACCAGGCTGCACACAGCCAAAGCCACCCTATCCTTGGCACAGCCAGGACTCTCAAGGCTTTATTGGAGCTTGGTGCCAGCTCCTGCCCATCTCACCAAGCCCCAGCTGCTGTTCCTCTGTCTGATTTCCTCCAACCTCCCGCAGACCAGTTCAAGGAGCTGATCCTCACACTGTGCGATCTCATCCGCCAAGGCCAGCTCACAGCCCCTGCCTGCTCCCAGGTCCCGCTGCAGGACTACCAGCATGCCTTGGAAGCCTCCATGAAGCCCTTTGTGTCTTCAAAGCAGATTCTCACCATGTGATCATCCCAAAAGAGCTGGAGTGACATGGGAGGGAAGGAGGATCCGAGGGGCTGGGTGCAGGCCCTCAATCGGAGGTCTCATCATCCCCAGACTACTGCCCTCCTCACTGCCTCTTTCTGTTAGGAGGATAGTGAAGCCAGCCACTGTTTTTCCCAGGGCCAGCCTTAAGGTATCTAATAAAGTCTGAACTCTCCCCTCCAAAAAGTAGAAGTCATCTCTGTTGAGAAGGACCATCGCTGCACTGGTCAGCTCACAGCACCAGCAGGCCCCCTTCCTGCTTTTCTGTCATGTGTGCCACTAGTAATCATTTTCTGACCACCCTGAAAGCAAAGCCTGGGCGGGCACTGGCAGTGCAAAGGCCAGTAGGCCACCATCCCTGCCCTCAATCTGCACAAGCCCACAGAGGAGCATCCTGTAGAATGAATGGTTTGATTTGCTTCTCAGGTAGCATGCAGCCCAGTCCAGGGCATGGGGAGGGCTGCATGGAAGAGTGAATGCCAGGCTGAGGTCATCAGACCCTGAGGAACAAGGACATGGGGTCTCCACTCTTGTGGAACTGCCCTTCTCACTGAGGACATAGACAGTATACCAGTGGGGGTAAAATCAGCCAGATGCAGTTTTACCCCCAGGAGCCATTTGACAATGTCTGGGGATATTTCTGCTTGTCACAGCTGGGGGAGGAGGTTGCTACTGACATCTAGCAGGCAGAGTGAGTGATGCTGTTAAACACACCATAGGACACAGAACAGCCTCCTGCAACAAAGAATCACCCAAGGCCCGGCGCGGCGGCAACACCTGTAATCCCAGTACTTTGGGAAGCCAAGGCAAATGGATCACATGAGCTCAGGAGTTCAAGGTCAGCCTAGGCAACATGGTGAAACACCATCTCTACAAAATATTACAAACATTAGCCAGGCATGGTGGTATTCACCTGTAGTCCCAGCTATTTTGGAGGCTGAAGTAGGAGGATCACCTGAGCCTGGGAGGTCTAGACTGCAGTGAGCCATGATCATGCCACAGCACTCCAGCCTATGCAACAGAGCAAGACCCTGTCTCCAAAAAAAAAAAAAAAAATTTAGCCCCAAGTGTTCAATGTTCATGGGGTCATTGATAAACCCTGCATTAAACAGTCTCACAGTAATTTTCATAGTGACTAATGCTGTAAAGAAGATATGTGGGGTGCTATAAGAGCAGAATCAAGGTCTTGCCCTAGGCCCCGGGGTCGGGTGCTTCCTTGAGGTAAAGTTTGAAGGTGGGCTCTGACAAATGAGTGAGCTTTATTCAGACAGAGGGGAGAGCCTGACATGGGACTTTTTGGTATTTGCTTCATGATCCACTTGTCCAAAGCAAAGAACAGGCTTCAGCGTGTCTCCCTTATCACCTAGCCCTCTGGACCCTGCACTCAGGAGCCTCATTCAGGATGTACTTTTTCTTTTTTGAGATGGAGTGTCGCTGTCGCCCAGGCTAGAGTGCAGTGGCGCGATCTTGGCTCACTGCAACCTCCACCTCCTGGGTTCACGCAATTCTGCCTCAGCCTCCGGAGTAACTGGGACTATAGGCTCCTGCCACCACGCCTGACTAATTTTTATTTTTTTAGTAGAGGCAGGGTTTCACCATATTGACTAGGCTGGTCTTGAACTCCTGACCTCGTGATCCACCCGCCTCAGCCTCCCAAAGTGCTGGGATAATGGATGTGAGCCACCGTGCCCGGCCCAGGATGTATTATTGAGTGCCTAGTGTGTGCCCAAAGCTAAGGATACCAATGAAAGAAGTGCTGCTGGCCCTCAAGTTGCTTAGCCTAGTGCAGTATTAACCACTACAGTGTAATGATGAGGTCACTGACATAGAGGTGTTCAGAGGGCCTTGGAAGGACACATAGGGGCCCCAGCTCTACCTGAGAGCATCAAGGAAGGATTCCTAGAGGAAGTGTTTTCCACAGCCAGTCTTGAAAATCGAGCAGGAGACTGAGTACCAAGCAAAGCCAACAGCACATGTGACAGTTTGGAGGCCTGAGGGAGCCTGACACTCGGGGAACTACAGACAGATGAGTGTAGCTGCTGCCTTAGAAGTGGGGGAAATGTGAGAACTGTTGTGGGCCCCATGGGTGAGGTTCAGATCACAAAGGAACATGATGTCAGGACTTACCCTGAAACCCCAGGGAGGCACCAGGGGATTTCAGGCAGTGGAGCAATATGGAAAAACTGGCTCAGAAGGTTTAATTGCATGCCAGTTTATACACGAACTCCCAGTACAATCATCTTTTCTTTTCTTTGGGAGCCTCTTGTGTATCCTCTGGAGAAAAGGACTCAGGTTCAGCCTGGGGCTGCATTGCCCTCTGGGTAAAATTTGCCACCTTGTGGGCTCAAGATCAGCCCCAACTTCTTCCTATTCCCCTGTCCTTTAGGTTAGTGGGACCAGTGATTGTACAGATGGTCATTATAGGCAAGTGAAAAAAGCCTAAAAGGGAGGGGAGGCTGCCAGACACCACAGGAGTGAAAATTAAGATTAGGTTCTTGCCGGGCACATTGTAATCCCAGCACTTTGGGAGGCCAACCTGGGTGGATCACGAGGTCAGGAGTTCAAGACCAGCCTGATCAACATGGTGAAACCCCATCTCTACTAAAAATATAAAAATTAGCCGGGTGCAGTGGTGCGCACCTGTAATCCCAGCTACTCAGGAGGCTGAGGCAAGAGAATCGCTTGAACCTGGGAGGTGGAGGTTGCAGTGAGCTGAGATCATGCCACTGCACTCCAGCCTGGGTGACAGAGCAAGACTGCATCTCAAAAAAAAAAGATTAGGTTCTTTAGGGTGGGTGTGGTGGCTCACACCTGTAATACCAGCACTTTGGGAGGCTGAGGTGGGCAGATCACTTGAGGTCAGGAATTTGAGACCAGTCTGGCCAACATGGTAAAACCCTTGTCTCTACTAAAAATAAAAAAAAATTAGCCGGGTGTGGAGACACATGCCTGCAGTCCCACCTACTGGGTAGGCTGAGACAGGAGAATCGCTTGAACCTGGGAGGAGAAGGTTGCAGTGAGCCAAGATGGTGCCACTGCACTCCAGCTGGGCAACAGAGTGAGATTCTGTCTCAAAAATATTAGGTTCTTAAAGGGGAATTCGTAAGGGTGGGGCTTAGAGGTAGGGGTAAGCCTGAGTCCTGGTGAAGGAGCAGGACCCTGGCACCTACTATAAGAGCAGGCACACAGGAAGGTTCGTGACACCACACTTCAGGATCTGGAGGAACATGCAGAATGTCCTGAGAACAGGGAGGTGAATGCTTCCTTGTATGTTTAGGGGTCTGGAGGTGATGCTTGGGCTGGTCTTTAAAGGATGATTATAACTTACTCAGGGAAGGGTGGCAAGCATTACAGACTAAGAGACCACATTAGGTAGTTTTAGAGACAGGGCATTTGTCAGAACTGTCTCATTTTCCCCATTCTCTTCCTGAGAATTAAAACCTACAACTTAGATGGGTACATGGTAGGCTGGAATAAACACTGTTTCCCTGTGTCCCTTGCAGCTAACAAGATCTGCCCCAAGTGATGTAAGCAGAGGTGTTAGGTGTCAGTTTCTTAGGAAACTTTTTTTTTTTTTTTTTTTTTTTTGGAGATGGAGTCTTGCTCTTTCGCCCAGGCTGAATGGAGTGCACTGACATGATCTCAGCTCACTGCAATTTCCACCTCCTAGGTTCAAGTGATTCTCCTGCCTCAGCCTCCCTAGTAGCTGGGATTACAGGTGCCGGCCACCACGCCCAGCTAGTTTTTGTATTTTTAGTAGAGACAGGGTTTCGCCATGTTGGCCAGGCTGGTCTCAAACTCCTGACCTCAAGTGATCTGCTGGCCTTAGCCTTCCAAAGTGCTGGGATTACAGGTGTGAACCACCGCGCCCAGCCTAGGAAACTCTTGAAAAGTATAGCTGGCCTGCATCCTGTACCTTTTTCTTTCCCGTCTACCTTCCTGATAGCTGGGATGCAAACATGATTCCTGGAGTCTGCCCAGCTATCTGTGACTGTGTTGATGGAACAGCAACAAGATCAAAGGAGCCTGGCCCCCTGACACCCAGAATCCCCAGCCGCCTACCTCAGGACTTGCTTTACATGAGAAATAAGCTTCTGTCTGATTCAGGCCCCTAGTATTTGGGGTTTCACTGAACCTAATCCTAGGTAAACCACATTCAGTGATTTTGGGGGCGGGGGGCGCTGGTGGGGACAGAGTTTTGCTCTTGTTGCTCAGGTTGGAGAGCAATGTCGTGATCTTGGCTCACTATAACCTCCACCTCCTGGGTTCAAGCGATTCTCCTGCCTCAGCCTCCTGAGTAGCTGTGATTACAGGTGCCCGCTACCATGCCCAGCTAATTTTTATTTTGTATTTTTAGTAGAGATGGGGTTTCACTATGTTGGCTAGGCTGGTCTCTAACTCCTGACCTCAGGTGATTCACCTGCCTCAGCCTCCCAAAGTGCTGGGAATACAGGCATGAATCACTGTACCCAGCCCATTCAATAATTTAACTTAGATCGAAATCAGCTCCCTGGGTGCAGGTGGCTCAAGGCTGTAATCCCAGCACTTTGGGAGGCCGAGGTGGGTGGATCACTCCTGGTCAACATGGTGAAACCCCGTTTCTACTAAAAATACAAAAAATTAGCTGGGCATGGTGGCGCATGCCTGTAGTCCCAGCTACTCAGGAGGCTGACACAGGAGAATTGCCTGAACCCAGGAGGCAGAGGTTGCGGTGAGCCAAGATCACACCATTGCACTCCAGCCTGGGTAACGAGCAAAACTCCATCTCAAAAAAAAAAAAAGAAATCAGCTCATTCTGTCAGAGGCTGAAAAGGGGACTTGTGGCAATTTATGATTCCCAGCTAAGGAATTTGGGCTTTATCCTGTTGCCAGTAAGGAGCAAAAGATTTCTAAGCCAGAAGATCAGAACTGTGCTTTGAAAAAATCCCTCCAACAGTATCTTGGAGGACAGTTTGGAGGAAGGAAGCACTAAATAAAGAGATTCTGAATTTCAGACAGGTAAGTCCACCCCGCCCCCTCCCACTAAATTTCAAAGACCAACTAGGGTTTGCCCACATTTAAGAGGCCTGCATTTGAAAGGAAACAGAAAAAAACAGAATATCAAAAGAGAACCTGAGGTAAGATGGATCCTTTCTTCTCTACAAGTGTAGGAGATTGTTTTTAATTTTCAGTCAGTCCAGGCATAG